CTCAAATCTCACATTGTAGGGTATCATTCTCCCTAAACTAGCTTCCTCATTGAATAAGTAGAAAACTAGTTAAGTTCAAATTCCTTATTGAACCAGTGAGACAGTCCCTCATTAAACAAATGGGACAATAAGTATAAATAAATTTAGGCAAACCATCGAGCTCCAATAGTAGCCTTACTATATGAATTTTAATTCTCTACTTCTCTTCCTAAATGAACTCTGGCCTTTCATAATCATGCAATGCATAAAGATGCAATTTCTGATAATATTCACATATTACATGTTTATCACATAATACATTACATCATTGAACTCCTTTATACACACATTCACAGAACTTCATTTACAATTATTCATGAAACTCCACAAGTGTCATATCATTGAACTCCACAATGTTATTCCATAAAATCTCCCACAAGCATGTCATTGAATTCCACAAACACAATTTCATTGAACTTCACATATCACATAATTATTGAACTCCTCATAATACGCAATTATTAAACCCTGTTCCCATAATAATCATTGAACTTCTTATATACATAATCATTGATTTTTTTAAAAATATTTAATGCCATACTTGCATTTCAAAAATTTCACATATCTCAATTATAATATTTAAATCATAAATCAATCAACACACAAAAGTATAAGAAAAAATTCTCTCAATTACCTCAAATATTTGAGAAGTTAAAGGTCTATCCCTCAATTTATCACGTCTAAAGCTTTTCATGAAGCTTGAATGGTGCATAATGTGATCACTTTACATTTAATTACAATATTAATTGTCAATATCTCTTTTTGAATAATTTCTACTATCTAGTTTAACACTTCTTCATTCTTGAGATTCAATCCCTTTACATAGAAGAATATCTATAGGGTTTATTAGCTTTCTCTAACTCCTATTAACTTCATTAAACGCCCAACTAGTCATTAATGGAGCCATATTGCTCCAACCACCTCATTTATGATGGAATTTTAGGTATTTATTACCCCACAAATATCAAAACTCATAACACCATAAATGGTAGGTTTAAATGACTTAAGCAACTCTCATTAATTCTATTTAAAATAATGGATTCAGACCCATAACCTTTATGAACTAAAAATTATCTTTTTCAACTAAACTTTAACTTTCAACTTTAAGAAAAATGGAAGAGAAAGAGAGATTCAAGCTTGGGAGACTCACCTCTAGTGTTTAGAAGCTTCAGAACACTCCCAATACTTTAATCCTTCAAGCTCTGGCAAAGTCCCTTGCATCTCCTTCATGTGTCTTTTGTTTTCTCTTTATTTTTTATCTGTTTTCACAACTTATTCTATAGAATTTATACCGCGCATGTGGTACAGAGAGGATGCTCTTGCCCTCTGGTGGCCTGCATACTACGTCATCCTGTGCATACACCATGACATATGGCATAAAACCCTTTCCTTTTATTTTTCTCACTTTTTGATGTTCAAGTAGCCTGACCTTCTCTGAACCCAATCCAAGAGCTAAAATTATAACACAAAACATCTGTTAGCTCTCTATAACTACACACCACACAATTTACTTAATACCCTCTTTTATTCATGTAATTTAGGGTTAAATTCTCCAAAATGTTACAAATGGTTAGGCTGAAGAGTGCATTGAAAGCATGTTCTTGCAATTGTTGGTGGAGTTCTGGCTAAAATGGTAGATTTGAGAGCAAGGTTTAGGAATTACAATAGAAAAATCAAGCTTGAAGCCATTAAAGAGCCATAGTGTGAAGTTTAAATTTTGACAAGATTGAACAGAAACTTACTTAAAGGTGTGATCTGAGCCTTAACAAGACCTACTAAAAATATAAAAAAATGGTAGGGCCTACTAAAAATATTAAAAAAAATTAAAATATGAGCCCTACTAAAGGTGAAATTTGATAGAATAAATGACAACGTAATAGAGTAAAAAATCTTAGCAATTAAAGGATATAAACGACCATTTTTTGATTTTAAAGGCGATCTTGACCCTTTCTGTTTGATTGAGGGGCATTTTAAACCCTTAACACTATTAAAAAAATGGTGGGACTAAAATATTAAAAAATTTAAATGTGGGCCCCATTAATGATGAAGTTTGATAGAATAGACGGCAAGGTGATAGAATCAAAAATTTTTATAGTTGAGTGATATAAATGACTCTATTGACTTTAGGGGCAATCCTAACCTTTTTCGCTCAGTTGAGGGACATTTTAGACATTGACAAAAAAAAGTTAGAATGTTCCAAGGACTCTAGTATAATTATCACATTTCATAGTATTTATTTTCCATTTGCATATTTTGAGAGGATTTATTTGTTATTTTTACTTTTTGATACAATAGGAGTAAAATTGAATTTTTTTGTTTTGAAACAAATTCTATTAATTATTTATCTCTAATTTTAATTGGTTATTGAAAGTGACTTATAATAATAATATGAAAAAGTACTTTCTCCATCAAAAATTATATGACGCTTTTATGGGAGATTCATTGTTCAAAATATAAGATACTTTAACCCAAAAAAAATTTCATTAATTATATTTTTTAATATTATTCTTCTCATTATATTTTCTCATTTTAATCTTCTTTCATAAATGAAGTATTAAAGGAAAATTTTTTCTAGAAGTTTATATTTTTATTTTAAAAAATAAAGTTATAAAATATATTTAATAAGCTTTATTAGTATATGTAATTTTGTAATGTATCTTACAATTTGGGAGGGAGTATTTTTTTTTTGTAGAACATAATAATGTTAATGATGATGATTAGTAATGAATAAAAATTTGACATTTCCTAACAAAAAAAAAGAGAAAAATTTCAGTAAGAACCTCTTAACCCAACTTAATTTTAGTCACAATTTTTAAAATTTTGAAATATCACAACAAATGTGAGGGACTGAAATAAAATTAAAGTGTTGATCAAAATGACCTCATTATCTCTAGTGAAATAAATAATTAATGTGTGAAAAATAAACAAATGACATATAGAAAACAGACAACTAGCGTAAATAGAATTTACAACTCTTATTAATAATACAATATCATTATAAATATAAATAAGTAAAGCTCTTATAATAATCAAGGACCTTTTATACTCTAATTTTTTTAAAATGTTATATCAATGACCTTTGTCTTGTAATCTTCTACATTAATCATGGTGGGATCCCATTTATTTAGAAGCATTTTATAAAGGTATTTTTGGCGAAGGTTGATCATTTTACCCTAGTTTAATTTCTTAATTATACTGATTAGTATACATAATTGGATTTATGTATGGATAATGACAAAGGTCTGCACAAAACACATAGAGAAGATATGATAAGAGAAGAGAAAGCTTACATAGTGATTTGAGAACCCAAACTAACCTCCAAATGTCATATGTAGTAAACCCTAATAGGTAACCCTTTTTTCTCTCCCTCACTCTCTCAAATTTCTCTTACGTGCTGATAGAAATTCGTGTTTTTGTAAATTTAAAATTTTATCACATTCACCACAGTGGATGACAAAAAACAAAAGTCCTCACTCAAGTCTATTAAATTAGACCTAGAGTGGCTCAATACCACTTAGGGTATGCTTTTAATTTCCATATAGGATCTATTGGACCCAATTATTGTCAAATTATTCTAATCAATTTCATTTTAAACCTCAATTAATTAACTTAACCCTTACTTAATTTTAATCAAGCCTATTTTAAATTTTTAGAGTGTTACATGTGTTATGCAGTAAATGAGATTTGTAAATTTCACTTGTATCAATTGTTTATTTTTTATATATTAATTGTTCATTTTTTCGACACGAGTTATTTATTTATTTAACTTTATTAGGAATAAAATTATTATAGTTAGCTCTTAATTTCATTTCAGTCCTTTGCATATATTGTAAAATTTTAAAACTTTAAAAAATTTAATTGAAATTAAATTGGATTAAGAGGTTCTCATTGGAATATTTTTCAAAAAAAAAAAATAATAATTATTAATTGCTCATATGTTCATGAAAAATACAGATTTTATCAAAAAAATATAAATGTTAAGCCTCGGGAAACCCTACTAACGCCTCAAGCCCTCAATCTCCTTGGCCCCCGCGCCAACGGCTACGCCACGATCACCGACACCACGCTAACGGAACACTGGCCACCCTGCATCGGCAGCGCCACCGTGTTTGCTGATCGGCGAGTTGGACGTTGGTCTCTCGGCGCTTCAGTACAACTGTTAGTTCCTGCCTTCTCCCCACTTTGTTGAGTCTCGGTTTACTAAATAAGAAGTAAGAACTGGTTGATAGTGATGTTCTGGTGGATGAGATTTGCATAATTGCTGCTTAGTGTCCTGAGTTTGTTTCTCGATAAAGGACACTTGTGAATGCCGTGGATGTAACCTTTGACTATTTAATTGCCAGCTTTGTTTATCGTGGTTTCAGAAACTCTAAGTCCTAGGACTGAATTCCTCATTTTGACGTGCTAATTCGCATTTGATGTATTTATGGCATGTGCCAACCTTTTCCAAGTAGCTAAATTTAGATATATTAAGTCAAAGCACATGTGATAGATGGGTTTGTGAAACTTAATTATTAACCAACTTTGAGTTGCTTCGGCCAAAAAAAAAAAAAAACTGAGTTGCAGTTAGATGGAAAATGTATACATTATGTTATACAAGATAAGCCAATATGTAGAACCGCTACAAATGGGCATTTGAACCGATTCTGATTGTAGCTTAAAAAGAAAATACGTATTTTGAAGCTATCAAACTTCAGTTATAGTGGGACGGGGTCCCCTTCCCTTTTCCTCCTCTTTTCCTGAGATCTTGTAAGAGGAAAGACACAAAGTGTGTGACTTGCAAAATAGTTTCCTTTTGTATCAAGTCCAGAAAAACCAAAATTTTGAGTTTGTTGAATTCATTTTGATAGTACGAAGGTTTAGTGCAGTAAATAAACATTTCATAGTTTAATCAAGGAGTTTGAAATGAGTTATCCTTCCTTTAAATCCCATAGTCTTACGTAGTTGAAGACCAAAAAACAAAAAAGGAAAAAAGAAAGAAAGGCTTGACATGTGGATTTTAGCCATGAAGCCCACCAGCCTGTGACAAGCCAGTGCGGACTAGTCTGCTTTGATAGCTCTAAATTCTAATACGAAGCATGCATTACATGTTTTTCCATTTGAAAGTTGGAATTGATGGTCAGCTGGGTTCACTGCATCTGCCCATGATTGGTAATTCTGAATTGTAAACTGACAATGGAGTTCCTCATTGTACTTATGACAAAGGAAAAGGCTCCTCTTTGTACACTGCAACTGAATACTCAAACCAAATAAGCATTCAGGTTGGATTTCATGTTCCTTAGCCAAGATGAGAAATTTCCTTAGAAACATCTTTAAGTTGAATGAAAGGTTCTTGGCTTCAAATGTTTGAATTTTAAGCCATATATGCAGACATGTGGTGTGGTTCAGTATTTTGCTCAAGTCATTTCTGATTACTGAAAGCAATACATTTGATCGGGGTTTGAGTATAGTAATTTATAGCTGTTAGATCATAGCAATTCATTGTAACCTAATTATACATTTGACTCCACTCAGGCTTCAATTATCCATTTTTGTAGTTGAAGAATAATAAAACACTAGTGGCTATGGCAAGGTTTGTGCGTCCTAAGAATGATGTTGAATTGAGTCCAAACCTCTATGTTGCAAACTGTGGCCCAGCTGTGGGACTTTCTCATGATGCTATTGCATCTGTGTTCTGTGAATTTGGGGATATAAAGGGAGTTTATGCAGCAGATGAGAGTGGCACCCGTGTAATTGTATCTTTTTCTGAAGAGAGTTCTGCCCAATCTGCCCTGAAGGCATTAGATGGAGTTCCATGTTCCAAACTTGGAGGCCGATCTTTGCATATTCGTTACTCAATGCTTCAGCCAATTTCACAGGTATTCGATCTTCTCAAGTAATTTGGTAAATAATCATTTTTTACATTTGTATTTAAGTAGATTGATGGTATCATATTGCTATATTTCATGTGAATTCTTGACCTGAAAAACTTTAAGGATTTAAGGGGCCTTGGAAAAATCTTATGTTGTTCCTTGGAAAAAATGTTACGATGGATGTGCAGATATACACGTAAAGGTAAAATTCGAAATGAGCGCGTGCGTGAAAAAGTGGGGGTAGCACCTATTAAGAAAAAAATGGTAGAAAATCATTTGAGATGGTTTTGGCATGTACAAAAAAAACTGCAGGAGGCACAGGTGAGAAAAGTGGAATATCTAACTTTGAGCCCTATTAAAAGGGGTAGATGAAGGCCAGAGAGAACACTCTTAGAAGTTTTTGAATGCGATCTCTTAATTAATAACATTTCTAAAGCTTGGTAAATGATAGAGCACAATGATGCCTTGCAATCCATGTAGCCGACCTCACCTAGTGGGATAAAGGCTTGTTGTTGTTCCTTGGAAAACTATGTGCTCATTCACTGGCTTCTATTTCTAGGAATAAAATGTTGAGGTCATTATTACTTGGCTTTTATCCAAACGTGTAAGAAATTCTGTTATGCATAATTATCAGTTATATAAAACTCAGAAGCTGGATTTTCAAATTTCTATATAATCAGATCCTTCCAGCTTAGAAGACTTTGCTCTTATTATATATCAGAGAGTTGTATCTGACTTCTCTTTTTCCAATTACATATATTAGTGACAACTGTTTCTTAAAGCCAAACTGTTTCTAACTCAATTTGGGTTCAACTACTGCAGTTTTTGGTTCTTATCAGAACCAGTTGCTCTTGGATTTTTAAACCAAACTAGAGCAGTGTCTATTTTCCCAATCACGTTGACTTGGATATTTTTCGATGTTTCTCTAGGCTTCCAGCTATGTTGGACAACTTCAAGGTCTTAAGAAATGTGAATCAACTATAATGACTAGGTCATAAAAGGCTTTGAGCATTTTGTCATCCTTATAAGCGCATTAGCAAAACATTTTATGTTGTTGCTGTTGCTGCTGCTATCCTCAAGTAGCATAGTGGTCACTTTCTAATTGCATGACTTTGTGAGCCTAGTTAGTATGAAGTGATTGAAGGTCAATTTTTCATTCTTCAGCTTCTCTGTAGCAAAGATATGAAACACAAACTTCCATTCTGATTTGATTTATATGATCCCCTTGAATACCACCTATTTTCATGAGCAAAATAATCCAAGTAGCATGGGAGTGTGGTGGAAAGTATGTTATGCTAGAGTAATCATGTTTATAGTTTCTGCATGATATGTCCACACTCATATACTTGTAATTCTATCAAAATAATGTGTCCTTTCTTATGTCTCTGATTTCCTATATTCCATATTTTTCTGGTTTACTTTAATGTGTCTTAATTAGATGTCCTGAAGGGCTTTGACAAGCTTTTCCTTGCATTCCCTTTCAAACCCTTCTTCTCCCATCTCACAACCAAGCCCAAAGACTGTATAATATTCAGTTACATAGCTGCATTTTGCTGTATATGAAAAGACATCACATCATTTATAATTGTCTTCTGTCTATTAGCATTTTTTGTTATTTGAAAAAATTTTAGCCATTCATGAGTTGAATGTTTAAATTGAAAAAGCTGTGAGTAAACGGCTAATTACTCGTGTGAGGAGATGATTTGTCTTTTAATGTTGATTATTGCAATGGATTTCTTCATTATCCATGTTTGTTGATAAGTTTGCATGTCTGTTTAGAGTCAGGTAAGTAACTTGGTTCCTGTGTCTATCACAGTCTCAGATCTTAGCATTCCAGGCCTTTACCTTGTGAACGACTTCATTAGCACTAAAGAAGAGAAGGTTAGTAGTTTTTGCCTCATATAGATTTAATATAGTTATTCTTTGCATTTTTGTAATTTTCTTTTAATCTTATATTTATATTTCTAATTTGATTCTTATTTGATGAATGATGAGTATGGACTACGGACCTTTTCCATCTTCCCAGGCATTGCTCCAAGAAGTTGACTGCAGGACCTGGAATAATCTTTCGAAAAGAAGGGTTCAACACTATGGTTATGAGTTTTGTTATGATGTAAGTTTATAACCTGATAAGAAATTGTGTGTAATCATGATGCATCATTACACTTTTTCTCCACAATTGGTGCATCATTATGTTGGTTGTTATGCGTAGGGTATATCTATGTGTATTTTACTTCAATTATTCTCACATTCACAAGCCCGAAATCTCATTCTGGCCTCATTACTGCTAAAATCATTCATTTGTTTAGCTTGTCCACGCTTATAATCTATAAGATTCAATTTTATAGAAATAAGAGAACATTTTTCACATATGGTTTGCAGTTCTTCATCAACGATTATAGATGCTTCTTTACCTGCATTACTCATCTATTCTTTGCCTCTATTTCAGCCATTACAAACCATTACAACAAATATTAAATATTTAAACATGTTTTTTTTATGCATTTATTTTTCTGATTTTCTATGGCTTTATGCTTCTCATTAAGTCATTGTTATTGCCCCTAAATTATTACAATCTGATTTTTTCCAAGTCAAATAACTGATTCTTTTGGAAAATGGGTGATATGCTTCCTTCCTAAAAGGTTTTAAGTGCTGCTACTCAGGATCAGGACAAATACATTGTTGAGTAATGTGAGAATGATATTGATTGTTGCTGTAGGCTTTACTATCCACTTTTATTTGGCTGTGCAGACAAGGAATGTTAATACAAAGCACCGCTTGGGTGAACTTCCATCATTTGTTTTTCCAATACTTGAAAGAATCTCATTATTCCCAACTCTCAGGAATGCTGCAAATGTAGTTTTGGACCAACTTACGGTATGCTAAGTACTGCTGTACTTAATGAGATTTTATTATTTATTAAAAATATAGTATTACTATTGGGTTAATAATATACCCAAAGGCTTGGCCATTAATAGAGCACAATGGTATCAATTGGGCATCATGCAATTCATGTAGCCAACCCTGTTTAGTGGGATAAGGCTTGGTGGTGGTGTTGTATAATATTACTATTAGGTTTTTTATATGTAAATATTGTTTACTTACGTTTGATGTTGAGTTTTGATTTTATGTTACAGGTAAATGAGTACCCTTCTGGTGTTGGCCTGTCCCCTCATATAGACACTCATTCTGCATTTGAAGATTTGATTTTCAGCCTTTCATTAGCTGGGCCTTGTATAATGGAATTCAGGAGATATGCAAATAGTGATTGGCTTCCTAGAGTTGCTTCAGGCACTGTCACTAAAGTGGAAAGTCCAGAGGATGATTCAAATTTTATTCGGAAGGCTATCTATCTTCCCCCACGATCCATGCTGCTGATGTCTGGCGAAGCACGATATGCATGGCACCATTACATTCCTCACCACAAGGTTTAATTCCATTTCTGGATTAATCATGACAACTTTATTCTTTTATTAGCATAAAACTTTAAAAGTTGATCAGAAACACCCCACTCCTCCTTTCTTAATGTACTTACTTGTATGTGTGCCTTGATCATATAATTTTGTCCATAAACAATTCCATCATGGTTTTTCCTCCCACAGATTGACATGGTGAATGAGAGAGTTATCAGAAGGGCTTCAAGAAGGGTGTCTTTTACTTTTCGAAAGGTTTGTGGATCTCATATTTTTCGTTTTTCATCTTCCTGAGAGAAACCTGTTAGTCCTCCTGCTACCTTTTAAAGAATCTATGCAATCATAAGCACCAGGAAGAATAGAGGATATTTATTAGTGAACTTAATAACAACCAGTTAGAACCATTGATCTATCCTGTCGTCTAAATCACCTAAAGAGGTTATTTCAGTTGCTGCCTCTTTTGCTTGTCATTTACTTTTTGCTTGTTTATTTTGGTCAATATGATCAGTTGTCGTACACCAGTTTTTCCTGAACTATGTTCAACAAAACCAAGTAATTATTTTTTGCATAATACATGCTTCTTGTTCCTTTTCAAGAATTACTCTATATAAATGAAGAAGCATGTATACACTCCCACTGTTATTGTCTAATCATAGTGTTGTCACTGGTTGCTATTATAGAGGTTAGGAACAGCTAGGGATATAATGTCGGTGCCTATAAACTGTTATTTGTAATGTTTATTTAAAAAGGAAAAGAAATTGTTACTGACAGTAAATTGGCAGTTATTCACTTATTCCAGGATTCAAGTTTTCTGGTTAAAATTGTACATTTGAAACTTTTGAACCAGGTCAGAACAGGTGCTTGCAATTGTGAATTTCCTCAGTGTTGTGACCCTCAAAGATAGAAGGTTGGCTTTCACCATGTTTGATGAGGAATTGGCAGAGTCGACATCTTTTTTGTGGGGCCAGAAGGTGCATAATTTGAGCTATATAATTTGTATTTGTGGCTTATTGGTATCATTTATACTCCCTCTGGCTTTTGATATATGGCAAAGTTTGAAAACTTTTTTTACTCCTTGATATAAGGTCCAATTTTATCCCATGTTTATTTTTTGTTATTTGAATTCCTAAAGAACAATTTATTATGATTATTAATTGCAAGCAAAGGTAAAATTGAAAACTTACATATTTTTTTACAATTTTAAGATTACATAACATTTCTTAAGAAGTGTGAAGTTGGTTAATTTCACCTTGTAAAGCGGGAGGGAGTACATCTAAGACCATTTCAAGTAGTGAATTAAGCATGTCTATTTTTGTCTGCACTGATCTGATATACATTGAATTTTAATAATTGTAATGGCTCTGTATGGCCTTTATCCAGGCGATCATCCTCCTGATGGCTTTTATCTGTCAAGCGTATCAGATAGACCACAAAGCTGAGAAGATTGAAGATTTTGATGCCTTTCTTTCTTACTTTTTATTTTATTTTATTTTTTGATGATTTAATTGGACTTTATTTATTTACTAGAGCTAAACTTAGTCTAGCAGTCCAATTATTTTTCTATTGTAGCCTCCTCACCTTGGCACAGCTTCTTTTAGGTTCTTTCAGCTGAGTGAACAATTATTGACCAGTAACAATTGTTCTTTAGCACATAGATCCCATCATTTTTTTTTTTTGGGGGGGGGGGGGGCGCGTAAATTACTCCTTATATTCAGATTCTTTTCTGTTCTTTTTTTTTTTTCAGAATGATGTGGAGTCTTAATAAAAAATTTGTATATTAATTTTAAAATAGAAAATATACACTACTATTTAAAACGAAACACAGCAACCAAATGTCTGCAGTTATGGATTTACGATTAATATATATAGATTAATATTATATTATATAGAAGTAGAATGGCTATTCACTTAATTACTGAATGATCCATTTTTTTCCTTTTTTTTAATAATTAATTTTATTTAGTATAAGGGGTTGCTGCTAGTTATTTTAAAATAGTAGCTTATTTAAGAAGAAGAAGAAGAAAAAAAGAAAAGAAGAAATAATTTGTGATTCTATAAAATTACTTTTAAAAAGACAAATTATATGAATAGTCACAATTTATCAAGTCGGTTTATGGTTTAATATAACAATGGCTTTTAATACATAAGGTCATACCAAAACAATTGGAAGAATTGAGGCCAACTGTTTAAAATTAAAAAATAAGTAATTTTTAGGTAATTTAAAGATTTTATAAAAAAAATTATTTTGTAGAGATTTTATAAAAAGTAAATATTATTTTATATTTGGTTATAATAATATAAAAGTGATTATTAGTTAGTTATTTTTAAATTTTAAGATATCTTTCTTGATTTTTATTTTATAAAATTAATTTACTATTATATTATTTTAAAATTTTATAATATTTTTGTATATCTTGTCTCTTTAAAATACTCTCTTTCATCGATTCCATTATATTATTTTCAAAAGCTACTTAAAGTAGCTTCTTAAAATAATCAAAAATATAATATTTTTTTTGAATTCTGATTATTTTTAAAATTTTAAACAAACATAATAAAAGCTCATAAAATAGATTTTAAAAAAAAAATAAGTAATTTTTTTTATGAAATAAACTAAAAAAAAAGGTTCAATTTGTGATTATATAAAATCACTTGAAGAGCTCTTTTGTTAATATTATTTTGTTTTATTGTACAACCAATTAATCTTTTCTTGCTTCTTCCGTAAAAATGCGTTAATTGATGTTATTGTTTTAAACGTACGCTCATTTTGTTTTTAAAAATTTCAATGTCTATTTTTTATTGTTTAAATAATGACATTTCTTTTTATTAATTTACATGGTTGCCAGTTCGATGTTTTATTATTCATGTCAACTTATTTTAACTTATATCCTCTTCATTCATCAAATAACAAGAACAAAATAATTAAAGTAAATTTAAAAAATTAAATTGGTAAAAATTTAACTCGAGAAATTAAATTAATAACTGAGACAAATTTAAATGAATAAAAAATGTATTAGCTCATATATATATATATATATATATATATATTTTTTTTTTGTTTATTGAGTTACCGATACATTTCAAATACTCATGTCGATAATTCGTTGTCTGGGGAAGATTCCTGTCATCTGAACTCAAGATCTTAATAATTGAAGTGGAATATAAAGAATTTTCTCGGAGGATTAGGATCTTTCTGTAAAGTCTAATTTACTATTCTTGATTATATTCTGGGCGCCTGAGTTTAAGTTAATGGCATCTTTGTTGCTTTATAATCTTTCAATGATCTCAGTTTTCGTCACGTAAGAGAAACTACTATATATTTTATTGTTTTTTTATAAATAAAAACACAAATTTTAAGAAACATTTATTATACTTTTTTTAAAATTACCCCTCATACATTAAATTAGAAAAAAAAAACATTTATTACAAAAACATTTTAATCCAAACTCTTCAATTTCAGACAAAATTATTAAAATTAACTAACTTTCTTAAATAGCACACGTTAATTATTTTTCTTACATAGTCAGCATCCAAAAGCTCATCTCAATCTCAAGCTACAATTTGACAGGCGACAATACACCCAACATAAGCTCAAGCTTCTAAGGACAGTGCAAATAAATTCTTGTGGATTCTCATCATGCAGGTTCATGCATGATACATCTCTGCTTCATCGAAGTGAGGAGGCCATTAGAGATTAACACGTGTCAAACCAACATAACTCGGGTGAAAAAACTCCATAGCTCCACCAAGTAATCCATAATACAATCGTTGCAGAAAAGATTTACCAACAAGTTCCAAAATTGTCAAGCCAATAAAGATGACAACAAAGAAAAATAAAAACTTGATTGGTACCCACAATCAATCACTCATCCTCTTGGCTACGCAACCTGGCTGTTCTGTTGGTAACAACAACATCCAACTGCGCAGCCCGCTCAACGATCTCCTTTCGCTTCCGGGTTGATACATTGTGTGCTATCTCAGCACAGTAAGTCCTGAAACTTCATCATGTCAATAAATACAGAAAAATGCCAGCGAAGAAGAAAGCGGAAATCAAAATGCACATCAAAGGCAGTTAGTAACCTGTTGTGCATCATCAGAAGTTCCAGCTCCTTGACATTGTTCACAACAAATTTCTTGAATCCATTAGGGAGATAGTGACGGGTCTTCTTGTCTGAACCATAACCGATATTTGGCATCAAGGCACATCCTTTGAACTTTCTCCTTACACGGGAATCGATACCCTTGGGCCTTCTCCAGTTGGGCTGCACACCACAATAAAAGTAATATAGGCTAATTAATAACAACCCAAAGAGCCAGTGAAGATGAAAAGGTAGTCATAATAGCTACAAAAGGTCTCAATGTGAGACCACGATAGGGCAACGTACAAGCATCAAGCACATTACTTTCTACTAAACATGCTTCAGCTCTATGCCAAGAGGTTACCAAAACGGGGAGAAATACACAAATTCTACTTTATATATACATATATGTCCAGCTGCCTGAACTGCTTTTGATTGACTTGATTCAACTTTCCTGGCAAGCAAACTACAGAGTACTGCAATGACTCAATAGGAACTAATGATTCTAATTTGCACACGGCTCACACTTGACATGGTCATGGCAACCTTGGTTGCTTGTTTATAACAAAAGTAGAACAGATTTTACAGCAAGATGTTGCCTACATTGAAATTTAAGGAAGAAACTGTAAATAGAATCATATGATGCCATCATCAACTGCCACAATGGGGAACCAGATGACAATTGATATCAGAAAGAATAAGATAAAGATAATTTCAATATTTTGTTCTAATTACTCCAATTTATCTTTTATTTGTCAATCCACTCTTGATGCAATCTTTTCCATGAAATAACTATGCTTACTAATTATAACAACGCAGGAAACTACTTCAGTTCAGAGATGACTGGTTTCAGCTTTCATTTGGTTATATTCATTGAGATGTTTATTTATGAACTTTGACATAGTGATGACAAGCGATAAGTAAAAAAGTATCAAGTGCATCATAACGAAACCATAATATTTTTCTTTCTTGGTTCATGAAGTCGCATTTTTAAAAGAAATCCATAAGAGCATGATCATCCCTGACGAACAAAGATGTAAAACTAAATGAACCGCAGAACCAGTCTCAACATTACAACGTTATATTATGATTACGTAGGTGGACAGAAAAGCTTGATGAGAAAATTTATTCAAAAACAATTTTTAATTCAAATTATATATATAGTTGAAATACATATAACGTATATATTATACTCTAAAATATTTCCATATTCCCATTCCCAACAATTTTGAGACTGTTAACACCCATACTTGAAGATAAATTAAGTATAGTACACAAGAAGATCATTCTAAATAGACTAACTCACAAGGAACTCGCAAAAAACACATACCTTAACACAAATTTTCCTGTCGCTCTGGGGCCTCTTGAACTTTTTGACACGCTTCTTCACTATTTTCTTGCTTAGCAACGGAACCGCCATTTTGTCTCACACAGATCTTAAAAAAAAACATAAATTTTCTTCATCCCCCAATATATTCAACATGAAATAAGAAAAGAAAATGAAAAATGCCAGCAGTTATCTCAATACAGACATCCTGAAACTATCTATTGCTATTGGGCATAAAATTCATCTTCAAATAAACTGAAATTTTGAGGAACTTGGACTCGTGCAAAAGAAAAAGAATAAAGGGAAAAAACAACCGAAAAGCTAGAACATTGCTAGTCAGTGACAATTGAATAAAACAATTTACATAAACCTGCACTCAATTACTCCAAATCACATTGACCTCTTGCCTAGTTTAACATTGCAGTAAAAGATAAATATATATCAGTAGCGCAACCACAAATGCAAACAAGCTGCATTTCAACATCCCGTATTACATTTAACCATTTCAAAGCAATTTTAATTTTCAAGGTTGCATAAACTCCAATTATCATGTCTTGAAACGCTTTAAAGATAGATAGATAGAATCGTTGACAAAAAAGGTTGTAGTGGGAACCCTAATAGGCCAACCGAAAACAAAACAAAAACCAAACAAAAATCAACGTGAAGGTTCAAGGAAATGATTGAGAAGTACGTTTCAAACCTGCTTGCAGAGTAGCTCGGTGATCTGAACCAAGGAACGAGAGGAACCCAAGATAACCAGGGTAGCAGAGAGCTAGGGTTTTAAAAAGTTACAAACACGAACGGGTTAAGATCAGTTGTTGTGAAGTGGTCATCATTTTTTAACCCTTTTTTTTCTTTTTCTTTTTTTTACTTCCTGTTTTTTATGAAGGGAAAAAAAAACACATGGTTTAGGCCTCTCTTCTTTTTTTTGGGCCTCTACCTAAACTTGGATTATTTCCTTCACGATTTGGGTTCATAATCTCATCTCCTTTATTTTTAACGATAATCAAAAATGTTCGCAACACTTTGCCCCAAAAAAAAAAAAAATGGTTAGCGACACAAACTATAATAATACATAAATTATTTAATTTCTGAACATTACTAATTTTTTATTGTCCCGGGAATTCGAATTCCAACTGGTTTGAATTAGCTTGTTTATTTTTAAAGATCAAACACATCAAGCCGGTTCTAAAATTTCAAGTTCTTGAGATGACTTAAAAACCTGAATTATTTATTTTTTTAATTTTTTTCGAAACATTAATATATTTAATTTTAAAAAAAATCAAATAATAACGAGCAATAAATCAAATTCATTTTTTAATACAAAAATCAAATTCAAATTTACTTCATTAATCATCTTTCACATTGTCTCTATCCTAAAATAAAATAAATAAAATTATTTAAAAATATAAAAACATAAATAAAAAGGAATTATTTGGGTGAGTTTGAATAAGCCCAGATTATTTGAAATCACTTCTCTTAAAAAATTTGATTCTAAAATTTTATTGAGCTTATTCGGACTAACTTGTAAAGCCTAATTCAAGTTCTCAGCTCTAATGTTTAGTTTAGTCATTTGAACATAAAAGATGTAATTTATTTTTTAAAGAATCTTGATACAGTATATAACTTATCATCTGAAATAAAAATAAGTCTATAACTTTGACATGAATATCATCTAAACGTAAGAATTCTTCCTCTTTAATAATAAAGTCTATAGCTTTAACTTTAAGTCTTTAATAAAAATTCTATTACAAAATAGTTTCTAATTTTTGACCCAATTGCTCTTGTAACAAGAAAAGTTGATAGAGGATAAAGCTTGCACTTTTAAACAAAAATCTAAGATAAGTCATATTATTATATAGCATGTTGTTATATAGATTTTAAATTATAAATTTTTGGCCAGCATTTTAAATTATACATAGAGATAGAAATTATGTCAACTTCTAACAAGAGAATATATACTACGTTATAGCTTAATAACATTAAAACCCATGCAAGTGGAAGTCGCATTATCAATTCCGTTTATAACTCTAGGCTTTTAGTATATGTCCCTTAAATTAAAAAAAAGGAGGTAATAAGTACTATTGATTTGGTAGATTAGGAAAAAAAAATTGCATGTAAATATTTTTACTTAAAAAGTCAAATAAATTAGGTTCTAGGGATTCACAAATGTCAGTGTATGTCTTCAAATTTAAAAAACACTTATAGAGATACTTATAAATTATCAACTAACATAATCTTTACATTAACAAGGAGATTTAAACCTACAAATTTGTGGATTATGACTAAATTTTTATTAATTAAACTAACTTTTGTTGTTAAAAACAAAACAAACAAACAAGAAGGAGAAGAAGAAGAAATTTTTTTAAAAGGCAGTGTGATGGTTACAAAGGGATCGGGCTTTGTCTCTACCGTGGGCTTTTTGTTGGATGTTTTTGGTTTTTGATTCATCCTCCTGTTGTGTGACCAAAAGAAGTAATGTTTTTCACTTCATTCATTGACGGTGACAAATAAAATTACATGTAAAAAATTCTTTCCATCGTTATTTACTTTAGAGTTTAGAAGAATAATTTTTTTAGCTAATATTTTCTATTAGCAGATTTCATGCTAATAAAATCAATGCATTTTAACCCTAGTTTATAAACACTTGAAATTAAAGCAGCTTAGATGCACCACAAGTATAATTCCAGCCTTAAAGGTCAAATCTAGTTGAAAAATTAAAGCATATCATAATGCTTAGATGCGCTATAAAACATAATCATAGCTTTGCTTTCAGTATCCTAAAAGAAATAAATCTCTATGCAGTATGATATGACAAGTTTAACACCAAATCATGCATCTTAATGTCAAAACCTAACAACATGATCACTTAAACAAGAAAGAGAATAATATTTAACTCCACTACAAAACAATTAAATATAACTTCTTCTATCTCAAATTATAAGATACTTTTATAAAAAATTTGTCATTTCAAAATATATGACATTTTAAAAAAATTAAGGTTTTATTAAATAAAATTATTTTTTAATATTACCCTTTATCTTTCTCTATTTAATACTAATTAAATATAGATTTAAGGTTACTAAATAAAAGATATTTTTAAAAATTTATATTTTTATTTTTTAAAAAATAAGATTGTTAATTATATTTAATAAGATTTATTAATATATAAGTAGGAAGAAAAGAGTATAAAGTTTACTAATAGCTATTTTAATTGTGAATTTATTATGTTTAGTTACATTGATCTAGCAATATTTAATTATATTGTGGCGAATTACAATGTAATCTTTCCGAAACCAAAAAGTCAACCCTCATACCAAATCTTCTCAAGACTGGTAAAAAAAGTGGAGCCAAATCCTCTCCTTAAATATTAAATGCCTGTGGCGTATTATTGACGAGCGTCCGCATTCGCTGCACCGGCGTCCTGACCCTAACCCTGGCCCTCAATTTTAATTTTATTATTTATTTAAATTAATTTTTAAATAATTTTAATATTATTTTTATTAAAATAAAAAGTATAAAAAATAGTGATATTAAATTTGAACAATTTAAAGTACATTTAAATGATTAATTTATAAAATTTAAAAATTTTTTAATATTAAATTAGATCATCTAAATTATATTTGAACTATCCAAAGCCTACATGAACAGTCTAATTGTAAAATTATAAAATTTTTTAATATTAAATTTGATTGCTAGATTAAATCTGTAATGATTAAATTGGTTATGAACATATTTATTAAAAATTTAAAATTTTTAACATTTTTTTATTAATAAATATAATATTAAAAATATTTAAAAATTAATTTAAATGACGGCAGTGATCAATTTAGACTGAAATGGAGGGTCAGAATTGCTGACCTGATGAGCACACTGCAAATCGTAATGAGGATCATGAATCATGCTTGATCATGGGGCAAACTTAACTACTTTGGTTTCTCAAAATCACATGCCCAGTATTATTTTAATCCCTGTATGAAACCAATTTAATTAGGAGACATCTGCTTTTCCAGACCCACAAGAAATTAAAAAGAAATGTTCCTCTAATTTGGATTTAATTGGAACCGGGTTTCGGTGGTTATCATGATGCTCATTGCTCTGCTCAATAGGGTAATGAAATCTAAAATGTCTAGATATAAAGGATAATTTTTTTATTTTTACTTAAACAAAAATTATAAAATTTTAATAAATCTATTTTTTCTTCAATATAGATAATATATATTAATCTAGATAGTTTAATTTAATATTAAAAGTTCTAAAATTTTTATAAGTTAACTATATAATTCAAATTTAAAATTTTTAACTCGCAACTTTCTTGCCAAACAAATGTTTTTTGAAGTTTCAGCATGGTGATTAACTTTATTTTTAATAATATATTTACCAAAATAAAAATTTTTAAAAATTTTAATATTAAATAAAGACTATCTAGAATACATCTAGATAGTGTTCGAATAGTCAATTTATAAAAAATTTAAACAAGTTTAATTGGACCATCTAAATTATATATATATTATCCAATTGATGGTAAAATAAATTTATTAATTTTTTATAATTTTTATTTTAATAAAAATAAAAAATAAAAAGTTATAAATTTAAATGATTCACATTTCATTACCCTGATAAATACCAGGGTTATAGTGCTCATCAGGGTGATAAGTATTACTACTTCCAATTTGATTAGCGTCTACATCATTCTCAAGCACGTAAAAGGAAAGAGGGAAAAAAAAAAAAAATACAGTGTTAAAGCCACTGATCATAAGTGTGAAAGTTGAATGAAATATTAGATTATGTTTCAACTGGCTATATAAATTCCCTTTCATTCTAGTATACTCTCTCCATTTAAAAGTGTAAAATATTTTTTAATAAGTTAAATGTTTAAAAATGTAAAATATTTTTAGTTTTTGAGGTGTAATCATTGTCTTTTTTAAAAAGTGTCCCTATTGATAATAATTTTATATTTATTATAAAATATTTAATATGAATAAATATGAAAAGATAGTGTTAGTTGAAAAGTAAGTAATTACTTTATTAAATGATAAAATTCAACAACAACAACAACAACAACAACAAGCCTTTATCCCACTAGGTGGGGTCGGCTACATGGATTGCAAGACGCCATTGTGCTCTATCATTTATTAAGCTTTTAGAAATATTATTAATTAAGAGATCACGTTCAACAACTTCCAAGAGTGTTCTCTTAGGCCTTCCTCTACCTCTCTTAATCGGACTCAAAGTTATATGTTCCACTCTTCTCACTGGTGCCTCCCTTGGTCTTCTTTGTACATGCCCAAACCATCTCAACCGATTTTCTACCATTTTTTCCTCAATAGGTGCCACCCTCACTTTTTCACGTATGTGCTCATTTCGAATTTTATCTTTACGTGTATGTCCGCACATCCATCGTAACATTCTCATCTCTGCTACTCCAACTTTATGCTCTTGCTGTCCCGTTAGAGCCCAACATTCACTACTATATAACATTGCCGGTCTGATAGCAGTACGATAAAACTTTCCTTTAAGTTTATTAGGCACCTTACGGTCACAAATAACTCCTTTAGCTTTTCTCCAATTAAACCACCCAGCTTGAATTCTATGTGAAATATCTCCACTGATTTCGCCATCATTTTGGATAATGGCTCCCAAATATCTAAACTTTTCCACTTGAGGTATAATTTGATCTCCCAATTTCACTTCCAAATTATTTTCGAATAGTCCTTTATCAAATTTACAATATAAATATTCCGTCTTACTTCTACTCAGACGAAAACCTTTCGACTCCAATGTCCTCCTCCATAACTCAAGTTTGCAATTAACCTCTTCTCTTGTCTCTGCTAT